GCAGTACGTCATCGACGAATTCCTCTCGGAGTTGTTCTTCAGACTTCCTGCTCTCTACCTCAGCCCTGATCCTGTCCAGCTCCTGGGTCAGAGCTAGACAACTCTCCTCTGAACCGACAGCCCTCTCCTCTACCGCAGAGAGCCGCTGCGTCTGCTCTGTAATTCTCCTCTCAACGTCGGCCAAGGCAGCACTTAGCTTTTCAGCGCCGACCTTCGCCAACTCGGCATCCTTGAGGAGTTGTTTGATCTGAGCAGCCTGCCCCGCAAGGGTGGAATCCCTGACAGCTACATCCTCCTTAGCACTGGCCAGGGCTCCCTCGGCTTCTTCTTTCTGCTCTCGAGCCCGCTGGAGGTCCATCATAACCCCATGATACCACGTCNGATGAATCTAAAGAAATACTATTTTTGAAGTATTATTTCCTTCAGTGCTCGCCAATGGTTAAGTTACAAGGGTAAGGTCCTGGGGACAGAGTTCAAGGACTCCTGCCCCCGAAGAAAAAACAGGAGCAAGTCTCCTGAAAGGGTAAGGCCCTGGGGACAGATTTCAAGGACTCGTGCCACCGAAGAAAAAACAGGAGCAAGCCTCCTGGACGGGTAAGGCCCTAGGGACAGAGTTCAAGGACTCCTGTCTCCGAATAAAAGGAAGGAGCAAACTTCCACAAGGAGTGAGACCCCGTGGATGCGTACGGGTCTTAGCAATGATGAAGCTGAATCAATCGGGTAGGCAAGCCAAATTGCTCCCTAGGTGTCGGAGCTATCAAGATCTTTAGAGAAAAAAAAGAGAGAATGCAAGCAAAAAAATGTAAGTACTCGAAAAAAAAGCTTCATTGCAAAAGAGGGGCTTTGCGTCCCCAAGAGCTACAAGAGTAAAAGAAGAAAAAATACAATTCAAAAGAAAAAGAACCTTCATCTGGCCTCGGGCATCTCCAAAATGTCACCGGAGGGCAAATCAATGCAGAAAAGTTGAGCAGCTTCGGGGGCAGGTAGAGATAGGACCGGATCAGCGACAACAAGAGTCTCGGGAATATTGTGGTTAGGTGCCAAGCCCGGCAAGGAGGCCTCTGATGGGACTAGAATCACCACCTCGGGAGGGTCTGTCAAAACTTGTATCAGCGTTGGAGTCACACCCTCGGCAGCAATCTCGCCCTCGACCTGTTCCATCTCAGCCGATTGCATATAGTTGTGCATCTGGAAGAGCGGGAAGTGTAGAGGGACCTCGGTAGATCGGAGCGCCTCGTCCCACCCCTTCTTGAAGAACTCTCTGCTATTTTCGTCAAGAGTAGGCAGTACGTCATCGACGAATTCCTCTCGGAGTTGTTCTTCAGACTTACTGCTCTCTACCTCAGCCCTGATCCTGTCCAGCTCCTGGGTCAGAGCTAGACAACTCTCCTCTGAACCGACAACCCTCTCCTCTACCGCAGAGAGCAGCTGCGTCTGCTCTGTAATTCTCCTCTCAACGTCGGCCAAGGCAGCACTTAGCTTTTCAGCGCCGACCTTCGCCAACTCGCCATCCTTGAGGAGTTGTTTGATCTGAGCAGCCTGCCCCGCGAGGGTGGAATCCCTGACAGCTACATCCTCCTTAGCACTGGCTAGGGCTCACTCGGCTTCTTCTTTCTGCTCTCGAGCCCGCTGGAGGTCCATCATAACCCCATGATACCGCGCCGTAATTATGAAAATCTGTTGGCTGGCCTGCAAAGGAAATGGATTGTTGATAAAAAGAAAAGCAACTAGAAAGAACTGAAGCAAGGATGAGCTTACCACCAGAGAATTCTGAATGATAGAGCGAAACAACACGTTCGTTGATCGCTCCCTGTGAGCCACCATGTCGGCCTCGAAGTGTAGCGTCTCACCCACTGCGTTGGCAACATGGGAGTCCTGCAAAATGGAGTCATCAACCCTGATCACTCGGTTCATGTGATCGGTGGCTCGAGGATTCCACTCCGCGGCTTTCACCGTCTGCGGAAGGAGAGGGGGAGTCTGCCCCTGCTGCTGTTGCTGCTGTGGAGGAGGAGGTAACCCACGGCCTTTCCCGCTTTGCTGCTGAGCGGAGGGGGCCCTGGATCCCCTGCCCAGGCCATCGTGCCTCTATTTAATTCTTCTCTCCACCTCGACCTGAGGATCTTGGTCACGCACTTGGCCTCGACCAACGGCCCTTGAAGGTGGGGGGCGCTGGTCCCTGTAGGTGGGGCCCCGCTAGTTGACCCACGCCCCCGCCCGACAGCGAGGGATTGCCTCTGCCTCAAGAATCCCAGATCAATGCGGGACGTGTTGGACATAACTGTCTCGAGGGCGTCCTTGACGTCTAGAGATTGCAGGATTTGAAAGTCAGGTCACGAATCTTTCTCCGAAGTCCCCACCTCAGCGTGCGAAGGAACCAAATCCTCTTTAACCCCGAGCTACTTCTGCCTCCGTAGCCGGTCGGGGTCTTCCTCTAAGTTCTCCTCGTCCTCTTGCCACACCGTCTGATCGAAGAGTTCAGACCACCGCGAAGGCTCGAAAGGCTAGGAAAGTTGTGAGAACTTTTTATATCCGGGAGTGTAATTCAGGAGGATATAGGCAGCCCGGCTGAACCCGTCGTCACCAGTAAATCTTCAAACAGTGACTAGGTCGGCAAAGTTCACCAAGGACCGAAGTGGAGGAGCTGTTTCCCGAGTGGAGATGTCTGCACACAAACAAAAAGAGAGGGGAGGGAGTTATGAACATTGCTAAAAAATTTCAAGAACAAAATAATAGACCCGAAGAAGCCGACGTACTTGTCGTTCTCCATTCCAAAGGGCATAACAAGCCGTTGTACTCGGGACCGACACCCCTCTGCCAAGATCCCTTGAAGATGAGTAGGTCATCTTTGTACCCCTTGTCCGAGTCGGAAAGATGAGTTACGAGGTACATGGATGGGTCCCTAGCTTTGAGGTAAAAGTTTTGTTGAGGCATGACCCTCAAAAGGGAGTAACAAAAGAGGATATCGTTCAGCCCAACATTTTCCCCGAGACGCTTGTTGAGCTTTAAGACTCCCATAATTATCCTGAAGACATTAAGGCAACACTGTCCGGGGAAAAGATGGAAATGGGAGAGGAACTGAAGGAGAAGAGGGCGCAGAGGGAACCTAAGTCCGCCCTCTATAACAGTTTTGGTAAAAAAGGGCATCTCATCCTCGGCCCCGAGGGTACGATAATGCAAAGCCGGATCATAATCCTCTATGTCTACACATGGGGGGATGCTGTACTTGACCCTAAACCTATTAATTTGCTCGCCCCCCTTTCACTTTATACTTCCCTGGCCTAGAAGAACTGGCCTGAGGATCCTCGGGGGCAGAGTGACGACGGGGCATCTCCAAAAAGTGATAAAAAGTGAAGAAGGAGGGAGTTTTTTTCCACGAAGATCCCCAAGGAGGCTTCCCGAGGATTGGTCGTTGAGTGGCAACCAAAAACGCCTCCAGTTATCGAAAAACCAAAAGGAACAAAAAAAAAATGAGAAGAAGAGAAGAGACAGAGGGTAAAGAAATGGAAGATACAAGGACTCACCAGAACGTAAAAGGAAGTTTTTTTCTTGAAACTTGAAGCGACTCCTTCCTCTAGAATGTTCAGAAGCAAGGATGAGTCTGCTGGCCTTAAGACTTCGGTGAAAGATTGGACAGTAGACAACGAAAGGAAATGGATCTCCAGCGAGGTTTCAGGCAATGACTCTCTGAAGAAATCCGAAATGGCAAAGTGAGAGAGGGAGAGAGGAAGCCCATTTATATAGTACTCATCCCCATCATTTGGGCACGAAGCACGAAGAGGTGCATTTAATGCTCACGACCTCCGAAGCAGGGGAAAGCGGCTGAAGACAATGATGAAGTAGTTGGGGCAGTTGTAGAACCCTTCGTCTCCTTACAACGCGTGTCCTCGGTGTCAGGAGATCGAAGGCTGGGGGGCAGTTGATGGGACATTTCCAAGTACTCCAAGATGAAGACACGTGTCCTCGGCATCAGTAAATTCTTGTTACTGTAATCACGACACGTACCCGTCGGATCATAAGTCCTTGTTCCCCCAATGTACTGTTCATAGGGATCAATGACACTCAGTACGTTACGTACCGACACGTATCCGTCGGGTCGGATATGGGTACATCGGTCTCTACATGTACCACCCCCTCGGTACCGAGATGTACCCATCCAGGATGGCGTTCTCTGCTCCTGCAGATGCTATTGATATACAGGTCACTAGCCTAGGCTAGGCTAAATTAGTCATTATGACATCGTCTTACACAATTGGTGTCAGAAGGCACAAGAAGGCAGAGGACACAGCCAATGGGGAATGGACGCGTGACATATTGTGTCACATCAGAGACAAAAAGACCGGATGCCCTTGCTGACACACGACTTGGGAAAACAAGCATTTAATTACACTATTCCCTTGATGAGACAACATTTAATGCGGTAAGACTCGGAAGTGAAAGGTAATAAATGTCTCTAAGACTGGACATTTATTACATCTTTGTCAAGAGGAGCTCATTAAACAGTCGGCAGGCCGATGACACGGTCTTAGTTGCTCGGGATCCCGAGCAGTTAAAAGAGAAGACATTCCTCATAGGAATCAGTGCGCACATTGCTCGTATCTAATGATCACCTACTGACCACACTGACAGCAATCATGAGTTTTTGAGGTATAAATACTCCTCACAAAAGGCAAGACGAGATGCAACGTAAAACATTTTCTCAAACCTATACTCAGTGTTTTCTTTTTCCCCTCTCTTAAAAATTGACTTGATCGTCGGAGGGGATACGCCGAAAAATACTATGGCGCCCTTCTAACTTGTCTTTCTCTGTTTTAGGAACCTTCCTCAACCTTACTGGATTGCTCCCTTGATTCACGAAAGTCACTCATTACCATTCTTGGCCACCAAAGGATCTCAGCCTATTCCAAATAGTAAGGTTGACCATTCGACTGACTCACTCGAGTTTATCAAAGGACAGATCTGTTCTCGTGTTTATATTGTGCAAGATCCTGCACGCACACAAGTCAATGAGAACTTGTGGCTTTAAGTTGCCTTGCTAATGGAAACACTGAAAATCTGGAACGGGTATAGAAAGCCTTGTATAGATTGGCGCATGATTGTCCATATTCCAACAGCCAGAGATTTACCCAAGAAACACAACACCGAGTAAATCATCAACTTCAAATCAAAAACAGATATCAACCATCAAAGTTAAGTACAAGTGAATCCACTCACCTCAAATGGTGTGACAATGACTAGAGCTTCAATAACGCCAGCACCGAACCCAGCAAGAACCCTCCCATGAGGACTCACGTTCCCCGTCTTCGGATCCTTGAACGCTGATTGAAGCACTGCATTGGACCCCATCCGAAGCGCATACTTCAAGGTCAAATGAGTTGCAAAAGGAGTTAAACCCTTCCAAAGTGCCCTCACACCTTCAGTACGAATCACCGTCGCGCCGCAGTGGATAATTCCCTTGTATGAACCGGACCGGTCGAGTTGAAGCCTAGTCTTGATGACATCAACGGGCTGTAAACAACAGGCCTCGACTATCCCTCCGAGTGAGCCCGCGATTGTTTCACGTACGGCAGAATCGTTTTTCGTTTCCCTGAATTTGTGAAGCCATTTTCCAAAAATTTTTGTTGGGTTCAATGGGTGGAATTAGGGTTTTGAGGAAGAAGGAGAAACAGTGGAGTCTTACGTTATTAGGAGGGTCTCCTTCTTCGCTGCTTAATTAAGGGTGGAGCCAACGTTTATATTGGATAAACTAAAAATTCAAACGACTAATAAAATATAAATATTTTTTAATATATTATATGATCAAAAAATTTTGTTTTTTAATATTTGATCAAAAATTTTATTTTTTTAATATTGGGTCAATAATTTTTGTAATAGGTTTGAGTAGATTTGAATAAATTTTGGTAAATAATATTGGACTCAATTTTTTACGCATAATATATTATATCACACATAATATATTATATAAATATATAACACATATATCCTGTTAATAAATTTTTTTTTTTGGGGGGCACTTGCTCACTCTAGCCCAGCTGTCTCTCCGCCCTTGCATAATCCCTTTTCTGTTCCGATCAAAATAAAAATAAAAAATTTTTTAAATTTTTTTCTTTCCATGATTATTGGGGATTAAACCTTAAAGGTTTTGAGAAATTGAGCTAATAATTAGTAATTTAGTGGATTGATGCTGACAGCCTTGTATGAAAATGATATATTTTTTTTTTAACTCTGGACTTCAACCCACCATAGTCCACTAATAAATCTGTTCCTGTGCTTATTCGTCGTCGGAAGTCATGTGTTCTGAGAAGAACGAGCATTTTCGAGTAATTTAACAATGAAATCTCTGGATTGAACGTGGAGGTGTTGAGAATTTTCTACGGGGGAATACTTACTTCCTGCCGGTAGGGTACGAGCTAGAGTCGGATAAAACTTGGTTCCAACACTATTTGAACGAGTTGAACTCGTTGACTCAAATTCCTATACTTTGATTTGTCTATTGAATCTATATATAAAAAAATTAAATTATTTATGTTCGCCTCAAACTTAGTTCAAATTCGGTACAAATTATAAATAAGTTGAAATATAATTAATGATTAAAATCATCTTTCGTTGGCATCAGACATAACCACTTGAGATTTTATGAATTAAAATATAATTTACGTTCCCTGTATTTTTATCTATACTTTCTAGTAAGTCCAATGAACCTAAGGATGGTTGTTGGGTTTGATTAGATCAATAATGCAAGCGTCTTCACTCTTGACTCTTGATTTTGCTTATATTTATTTAAGAAAATAATCTAGAAGTTGCACAGACAAAGATCACGGAACAAGAAGTCACAACTGGGCATGTACATCTCTTTAAACCTGTAGAACCCATGTACTTTATGATGATAATTATTGGATTTTTTTCGTTTTGTTTTTCTTCTTTTTTTTTTAAAGATGGGTAAATCAGTTACTCATTCTTCAATAAAGTTGGTTTTACTTCTTTTTAAAATAAAAGCAAAATAGAGACATTTCTTGCAAGATAATTGCTTTTGTTTTGTGAAGTTTGTGTGAGAGAAAGGAGAGTGTCAAAAGAGGGACACGTGATTAGATGACACGTCGCTAAGGCATGGAACGAACAACTTCGAAAGGGCAATGATCTCAACAAACTGATATGTCATTTTTCTTCGGTCAACAGAAATTTCCACAATTACATTGAAACTACAAATACTGTAAGGCCCAAAACAACCCAAAAGTCCATAAATTCCTCAACCAAATAACACAGAGAGCACTAGAATAACCATTTTTCCTTATTATAACAACAAAACCAACAATTTTTCTTAACAAAACAATGAAATGTACCTTTCTTCCCAAGCCTTCACTAGCCAACATTAAATAGAAAACAAACAGTGCAAATTACAAATACTTTCAGAAAATAAAAAATAAAAAATTGCCTTAAACCAGCTGAAGATGTCATGCAGAGAAGTCAATATTTCACGATTTAAAACAAAGCCATACACATTTTTGTATGAGTTGATGAAGAACCTAAAGAAACTAAAAAGTATGAAAATCCAACAATTAATAGGTTACAAACAAACAATGATTATATGAATAAATAGCTTTTTTGGGCATTTCATCAAACACGTTGTAGGCAAGTCACAACTGGTCAAAAAATATAACTCAAGTAATCAATATCCAATCCAAGAAAAACAAAGCTAATGCTAACAGAGAGGAAGAAAAGGAAAAAAAACAAGAAAGTGGGGCATTTGATGTACCGAGACAATGTTTTGGAAAATTTCAATAAATAAAATGGATATCACATTGAACAACAACACTAACTAGGACCTAAATAAAAAAAGCGTCCATAAAGGTGAATTTGATTTAATATAATTGAGGATAATTTAATTATAATATTTTTTTATTTAAATTAATTTAATATAATTAAGAGTAATTTAAACAATTAAATAAATTTTCTTATAACTTTCTTTTCTTCTAAAGAAAAGAATGATTTTTTTAAAAAAAAATTCTTACAAGTTCGTGCTAACCAAATATATGCATGAAAATATATTTTCTCATTTTCTTTTATTTTATTTTACTTTCTAAATTTTAACATCTCTATTTGAAGAAACAAAAATGGTGATGTGTCAACCATGCATTATTTCTACATTAATAATATTTGGTATTTATTTATTTTATCATAATAGGTGGATAAATGTAAAGTCTTTCAAATTCAGCATCTTCTTCAATATAGACAAGGATATTTTAGACAATTATCAAAATTTTCTAGCAACTTTATTACCTTTCAAATAATAGAATGATTATTTTTTAAAAAAATTTCTTTCAAAATTTTCATACTAATCAAATACATGAAAAAAATATATATTTTCTTTTCTTTTTCCTTTCTTTCACTTCACTTTCTAGCACTTTCACTTTCCACCATTTTTTTTTCTGACCAAATGGATCCTTAATAGAAAGTCACTCGCTTAACAAAGAAAATAAATAAATAAGAAAAAAAAGAAAAGAAAAGCGTTTCTGAAGGTTATGCTTTGTTGTTTAGTAAGTTGGACTTTTAAGGAATGAATTATTTGAATTCAAATTTTATAATATTTAGGATAGCCCATGAATCGTGTCATCACCTCCTTTAAAGAATTACCTAATTCATATAATATCATGTGTAATTGTGTTAATCTCATTTATGGTCAAGTTCGTGTCAACCAATTTCTCTAAGTGATCCATTCATCCACTTTAATCAATCATCAAATGACACATAGTGCCTCTAAGTGATCCATTCATCCACTTTAATCAATCATCAAATGACACATAGTGCTTATTAACGAGCATTCTTATCTTATTTTTTTAATTGTAAGAAAATAAGAAGAAAAGTTTTCCATAAATAAACTGAAGCCATGGAACGACTTTTGAAGAAAGAATCTTTTGCTTCCATGGTGAATAAAGGAATTTGAACTCTAGACTAGGTGCATGAAAGGGATCTAGTTAATTATTATTGGAAACACACCATCATCATGAATAACCAAGAAAAGTAAAAGAACTCACAGAAAAAAGGGAGTGAACTACATACAGAATACATGTTCGTAAATATTAAAAAAAAAAAAGTGGGGGGGGGGGGGGGTAGGTAGGTATATTATGGGATGGCTGTCCTAATTATCTATTAGCGAGGGCTGTTGTGAGGGTCGATTATGGGAAACAGTGTATGAGTATTGTCCAAGCTATACTGTCCAGAGATGTCCCCAGTTTGAGCGCTTATTGCTGCCTCATTGTAAAGATCTGATGGTTCAATCCCACTCATTAATCCCACAGTCTCTTCAATCTGGTTTTGTTGATGAACCCATGGATGTTTGGTAAACCTTCTTAAACCTTCAAGTTCCATTGAAACTTCTCTCATTGTAGGTCTTTCTTCACCATTTAGGTCAACACATTTCTTTACAAGCTGACCAAGTGCTTGGAGCTGCTCTAGAGTACCCTCTCTCAACACTTGAGGATCGAGAATTTGAAATAACCG